ATGAGAGAAAATCATTGATCAGCTGCTCCTGCAAGCCCCCTACTGAGGACAAAGCCCGCAATCCAGGCATGTACCCTGATTAGGAATCGAACTGTGACCTCCTGGTTCACAGGTCAATGCTCAACCACTGAGCCACACAAGCTGGGCGACGTGGGTTTTTATAATATAGTTAACCCTCTGTACCCTGGATTTCCCATTCATGGATTCAACCAACCACAGATCAAAAACAGTATTTGCAATCGATGTACACAAAGGGTCAACTTAAGTTATATGCAGATATTCAACTCTCTGGGGCCGGTGCCTCTGACCCCATGATGTTCATGGGTTAGCTGTATAGTGCTTCGCCAGTGCCTGGCACATACTAGTAACATCTACTCAAGACATGGCTGATTTTTTAAAGTATGTATTCAGGTGATGATACATACATAACTAAGCTTTTATTAAAATGTTAGCCATTGTGATTATTGAGGAGAGAAGGCCCTATTTTGAAGAGAGGTGGACAGAAAATGCCTTCTGAGGTGACTGATCTAAGGTCTGGGTAACAACAAAGAGCAGGACATGAGAGAATCTGGGGGAAGAGCTGGGATGAAAGCTGGTTGAGGGGAGGGAGTATATAAGTCTTCTTCATCACTGTATCTCCCTAGAACACGCCTGGCCCACAGAAGGCACTCTGTGATGAAATGCAGCAGGAATGAATAAAGCGGATTTCTGGCAGAGGGCACAAGTGCAAAGGCCCGGGGTAAGTACCAGTCTGGGTGCTTGAAAAGCACAGAGAGGAGAGGCCCACGGGCGCAGTGCAGTTAGTGGACACACATGGCTGGAGTGTGGCAGGTGTGTGGCCTGGGACAGTCAGTGAGGCAGGAGGGGCCAGGTGACAGAGGACCCTGTCAGTCATAGTTTAAATTCAATTTTACCCGACTTTCAAAGAGATGGCATGGAAGGGTTTTAGCAGAGTGGCATGGCCTGGCTTATTTCTTTAAAAGATCACCATGGCTGCTGGGAAGAGATGTTTCAGGGAAGCAGGAACGGAAGCAGGCGATGTATAGATCCGAGCGGGGGACGTCTGAGGGCCGGGCATGGGGGAGGAGAGCTGTGCTCACTGCTCGGGTTCCATGTGAGCACGCACACTCTGCGCTGCTCGCAGACAGGGACACGGGAAGGAGCAGGTGCGGAGCAGAACCAGCGCCAGGAGCTCTGGTTCCCTGGCATCTGGGCGAGGATGGCTGCTAGGAAGTTGGCCAAAGCGGCTGTGACTCTGAGGAGGGGTCCTCCACAGGAGGTGGCGTCCAAAGTCCAGGGACGAGATCAAATAAGAAGTGACGTGGGTCTTTATCTTCCTGTTAGGCTGCCAGAAAGGTACAAACTCAACATAAATAGAAGTGGACATTATCTTCTCTGAAGTTCCGGGTGCGATTACCTCCTCTGATGGCCCCTCCTCTTCATGGCATCTAGCATTCTGTCACCTACAGTATTTCTGTAGGTGTTCATCCTATAAAATGTCTGAGAAACGAGGAGGCTGGCGATGGCGTGTCTGTGGGTGCGAGCCCCCGGCAGACAAGATGCTCCCAGGGCATGGCTGTGCCTCCACCCAGCACCGTGGACGGGACAGCGTCCGCCCGGAGCAGGCAGCACGTGGATATGAACGGCGTGTGTCGCTCATGTGTTAATGGGAGGGGTGGAAGCCCTGTTCGAACACGCTAAGGCTTTGTTTTAAACAAATTTAGTGCCTGGTTAAATAGCAATCAGCAGTACAGACTATGTTGGTTAGTGAGGGTAAGTCTTCAGATCCTGGAGTCAAAGACTTAAAGCAGCAGGGAAAGAACTGCAGCGGCTTTAAGAGATGCATGATGTTTGGACCTGCGGAAGCGGATTCAGAAAGGAGGTGGCAGTGAGGCTGTAGGGAAATGACTTTGCAGAACAAGGCACAGGGGAGGGAGCTGGGGCAGCAGGTGGGATGGGAGAGGGAAGACAGAGAGAACTATGGACACCATTGATGGCTTAGAGTTCTAGAAAGTTACACATTTCAGAGAACTTGAAAGATGTTTAAGAAAGTGACCCAAATTCAATGCATAGAATGGATGAGAAGGCAGAGCAACTGCTAACTCAGTCCAGGCACAAGGTAATAAGAATCTGATAAAAAGGAGGCCACAGGTTCCAAAAAGTCTGAGTCGACCTAACTTGGTGAATGATCCGTGGAGAAAGGCAAAGAGGAGACATAGATTTTAGGTTGGGGTCTGAAACCAAGCAGTGGTATGCCTGGAGGACACCTGGGAGAGAGCAGAAAGGACTGGAGAGGAAAGGCGGGGCCTTGGGTTCCACGCCGAGTAGCCCCAGCTGAAGGTGGCCTTCCTCACCGCACACCGTGCATGCAGCCGCTCAGTCCTGGCCCAGAACAAAGGTCTGGATGCTGTTGCACATAAACATAACAGAGAAACCCTTCATATAATATAACCTCTCCATGGTTGCAAAAGCAAACTGAAATGGCTAAAATCATAAACAAAAATAAAACAAGTGCCAAAAGTTGCCTACTTCTAAAAAGCACTATGATTTCACATTTGGGTGTTTTGTAAAAAAAAGAAAAAAATTATTATATGAAAAGATGCTCAACATTATTTAGCTATGAAAGAATTGCAAATTAAACCACAATGAGATCCCGGTACACAACTACTGGGATGGCTAAATGTTCTAAAGACTCTAATAACAGGCGGTGGCATGGACGCAGAGCACCTGGAATGCTCATCATTGTTGCAGAATGGCAGTCACTGCAAAACAGCTCACAGTTCCCTACAAACAAAACTTAAACTTTCCCTATGACCCAGCAGCTATGGTGGCAGTAATAAACATTTATCAAAACTCAGAAAAATGTGGCTCAGTGGTTGAGTGCAGACCCATGATCTAGGAGGTTACAGTCCAATTTCCCATCAGGGCGCATGCCCAGGTTGAGAGCTTAATCTCCAGTAGGAGGCGAGCAGGAGGCAGCCCATCAATGTTTCTCTCTCATCGATGTTTTCATCTCTCTATTCCTCTCCCTAACTCTCTCTCTTTCTCAAAAAACTCCCACACAAACCAATCAATAAAAACATATTGAAAAAAATGTACACTTATTAAGGTTGGATCTTGCTATCTGAAAATTATTCTTCAATAAACTCAACTTAAAAAACAACTAGAGCATCTTAACATTTGCTCAAAGGAAATTGTTAAAGCTCAATGTTACCGTGTCTATGATTTCTCTGAAAAATTCTACATATTTCTTAACTAACAAGAATACTACAAATGTCCTTAATACTGAAGAGAAATAAATCCCATGCTTCCGAACCCTTTGGGCATCAAAGCATTCCTGTGCAGAGACAGGGATAGGAAGTTAGAGTGCAGAGAGGGGTGAATGCCAGTCATTGAGACGCTAATGAAGCGAGTCTTGTTTGGAGACAGCTGCTGGCTCCATTGTTCCTTTGTCCACGTGAAAAAGGGGAGCTGGATGCTCCAGGAATGAGGCCTTCATGCCCGGAAACCCCGCTGAGAGGCCACTGCCACCAAGCGCCAGAGAAAAGGGTAAAACCAAACCAAACACAACCAGCAGAGACCCCAAAACCTGTATTAGGTAATCTGTACTACTCCTTAAAATCAGAACTACTTCTAAACACATAATGTTCCAGGGTTTATTTTTCAGGATTAATGCTTTGTCTCATTTTATTGTCCTCACATTCTGAGGTCCACAGAATATTTTAAAGTCTGGATAAGTCTGCTGTTCAGGGGAAGCGGCAGGAGCACACAAACCACGGTTACCGGCTCCCTCAACCATGGGAGTAAGGCCCGCCTAGACACTTTGCCATTTTACAGCTTGGTCATTTACCAACCATTTTCCCTTGAACAGGGCTTTTACCGTCTTTTGATCATTATCCACAATAGGAACACATGGCACCGTGCAGCCGGGACAGATGTGTGTGCGTGCACCACAACGCCGAAGTCTTACACAGCAGGACTCACCTACCCCACAGGACGTTCTGCTAATAACGTCCCTCCTAGCACAGTCTTTAGAAGGCTGGCAGACACCCACACAGCTCATAGCATGAGCCACAGTATTTAAAATCATTGCATCAGAAGATGAACAACACGTCTCTGCGTATTTGAAGACAGGTTTTTAAAAATTTCTGTTTTAAACAAATGAGTGACCTTCCCTGAGGTTAACTCACAACTCAGCAGACGCTGCTCCTTCTCAGGGGGTTCCTAGGCCTGTGGGTGACAGCGAGGGAAGGTGACAGTCAGAGCAGCCCGCCTCCTGCTGCCCACCCTCAGATGTGAGGGTGAGGGGACTGGCCCAACAGTCAGGGTCTTGCTTCTTTTCCTTTTCGTTCTCCATCATCGTCATTCCTTAACTTCTACACACACACACACACACACACACACACACACACACACATACACACACATACACACACACACACACACACACAAGTGCGCGCGCAGGGAAGTGAAATAAAAGTCTATGGGTAGAGAATACAGAAGAAAGTAAAGCACAGTTTCCCTTAACACCTGAGGATTCAGTTATGCCGTTATGATGATCTCTCAGTACCACAGACACTGAACAAGTTTAAAAGACTGAATTGGCATGTAAACCACATGTAAAAAATATTTTCAATTCTTAAAAATAATAGACCTAGCCAGTTTCGCTCAGTGGGTAGAGTGTCAGCCTGCAGACTAAAAGGTCCTGGGATCAATTCCAGTCAGGGCACATGCCCAGGTTGCAGGCTTGATCCCCAGTGGGAGGGGGAGGGGAAGGGAGGGAGTACACAAGGCAGCCAATCAATAATTCTCTCTCATGATTGATGTTTCCATCTCTCTCTCTCCCTCTCCCTTCCTCTCTGAAATCAATAAAAATATATTTAAAATTTTTTTGAGTTTTTAAATTGCTAGTCAATATCATATTCTATTATTACAAACTGAAACAATTGGATATTTATGATAATTAGAAAGCAATTTTATATGAAGATTGGAAAACTTACTTTTAAGGACTCCCACAAAGGAAACTGGACCAATGAGAAGGGAATCTGAAAAGAGAAAAAAAAGAATCAAATAAATTAGGCAGGAAGCCTTGACTTTGCCTAGCATGGCAATACAACCCCATAATTATTACTGAGAACATTATTTCATCTTAACTATGTATATAATAAAGCTAACATTAAACAAATACATACATTACTATATACAATACACAGGTTTAAGAAACAAGTTAACTTAACTGCCTTTAGCTTTGCACTAGCTTTCTGAGCCCGTGTGGTCAGATGACGCAGTGGTGCCCTTTGCAAGAGGAAGGGAAGCACAATATGAAGCAGCCCCGGCTACCAAAATGACAAAATGATTATTTCTCATCACAAGTAATAAAAGCTTTAAAGACAGCACACTTCTGCTTAAGAGCTAGAGCTCTCTGCTCCTTAGCAGACCAAGTGTTAGGATTAAAAGAGGAAGGAATGGTGGCAGTGGGAAGAGAGCCAGAGAGGGAGAAAGAGCTGGGAATGGGGAGGAAGCAGAGAGGGAAAGTCCAAAAAATGTGGAAGAAGGGGAAGGAGAGAAGTAAGAAAGGGAAGAGGGGCAGAGAGAGAAGAAGGGAAAAGAAAGAGGAGGAAGGAAAAGAGAAGTTGGAGGATGAAGAGTGGGGGAGGACAGAGGGAGAGAGTGGAGGGGAGAGAGAAGGAAATGAGAGGGAGCCCAGAGGGAGATGAGTGAGGAAGGGCAGAGAGGGCAAGGCAGGTGGAGGGGAGGGAAGAGGAGGCAGGACCACTGGAGGAGTAAGCAGAGGCAGGGACCAGAGGAGCGGAGCGTGGACTGGGAGGCTGCACCCCTCAAGCAGCCTATGGATGGTGAAGGAGTGGAGGCTCCTGATGGCTGATATGCACACCAGAGCTGCAAGGAGAAGAGTGATGCGCAGGAATAACGCATGAGCGGTGGGCATCCCCACCACACGTACCTAACAGGTATTGACAATTTGGTGTGTAGCACTTTTCATGTGTCAGGCACTGTGCTAATAAGCACTTCATAGGTTTTATTTCACTGAATCCTCACAATCTCGTCTTATAATTGAGGAAACGAAAGTCCAGAAAAGCTGTGTAACTCGCCTAAAGGGCACAGCTAGAATGAAGAAGCCAGACAATCTGACTTCAGAGCCCTCTCTACTGCTCTACCTAAAAACATCTGCACAGGTATATTCACACTCAGTATACTCTATTTGCTTTTACTTAAACATTCTGAAATTCTAAAAATAACAGGCCAAATATATCCTAAAATAAAAGTACCAGAATTCCAGTGACCCACCCACCAACCTCTTCAGATCCACTCTCGGACCTATGGGCCTGTGCCAGGGATGCTCAAGCAGACCAGGCTCCTGCCATCATTCTGTATTCAGCTCACCGGCAAGTGAAGAGTAAATGTGGATAACAACATGAATGAATGTGTGAGTGTGTGTGTGTATGTGAGTGTGTGAGACCACAGTTTTGAAGGAATTAACAGCCCATGAATTAAGGGCATTAAGTCACTTCTAAAATACTTATTCAGAAATTAAGAGTCTGACATAAGCTCTCTTATTTTGATGGAACAAATGAATGCCTTGGGCTTGACAGTGGCCACAGAAAGAAAAATCTGTCTTCCATTCAGACAGGAAATGGCAGTGAGGAAAAAAAAATCAATGTCAATAGATTAAGCTGATAAACTAGAATCTCAGAGAAGTTTGTTACCTTCACCCCACCGCATACAGAGAAGTGCTACAAATAGGCGTCCAATTTAGTTTAGTTTTGTCATGAAACCATGAAATCATCTGACACTGTCCATTCTGAAACTGAAGTACTCCCAATTAAATTATCAAAATCCTAATTTTTTTAAGTACACAATATGTAATAAAATACCAAGAGGACAACAGGCAGAGGGATTATAGATGATTTTAATGTTCTTTTTTGTACTCTCTCCTCCCACATGTAAATGTATCACAGTTTAACAAGAGTGTAAATAGTTCACATTTATAAGATGAAAAAGGTCTTATAACTTATCATTACTGGTCATACTAATATTCTTCCCTTAATAAAAATAACCCATTAAGTTGGTACTTAATACATAATAGAGGGTAGAGCGAACATAGGAATACAGTGTGAGTACACAAAATGCAGTTTAATCTTGTATTATTAATCATTTTATATTTTCCACATAACCAACTTTAAAACTACACTTGCCCCACCCTGAATTAGATTTTGAATTCTGTAGATGAACATTTTGCCCGTTTTCCTCTTCAACACTAGACGCTGCAGAATGGATGAACCTTGAATACACTATGGTAAGCGAAACAGGTCAGTCACAAAAAGACAAGTACTGTATGATTACACTTATGTGAGGTATCTAGAGTAATCCAATTCATAGAAACCAAGTAGAATGGGGACTGGGAGAAGAGGGGAATGTGGAGTTACTGATTAATGGATAGTTTCAGTTTTGCAAAATGAAGCGAGTTTGGGAAACTGGTTGCACAACAATGTAAAAACACTTAATGCAACTGTATTGTAACTTAAAATGGTTAAGTGTATTTTAATACTATTTAAAAATATTTTTTTATTTTTTAGAAATATACTCTTAGAAAAAAGGAAGCGACAGATTGGAAGTAAATATTTACAAAACTCATCTGACAAGGAATTTCTATGCAAAATATATAAAGAATGTTAGAAACTTAATAAAAAGAAAGAAAAATGAATAACTCTCTTTAAATGCATAAAAGACTGAACAAACATATCATCAAAAAAGATAGACAAATCACTAATATAAACACATGAAAAAATATTCACTATCACTAGCCATCAAGGAAATGTTAAAACACACTGAGAAAACAGTGTGGTTCTTCAAAAAGTTAAACTTGGAATAACCATATGACCTAGCTATTCCACTCCTTGTTATACAGCCAAAATGATTAAACACAGGGACTCAAAGATATACGTGTACACAAATTTTCATTGCATCATTATCCACAATAACCAATAACTCCTGTGTCCATCAATAAGTTAATGGATAAACAAAAATGTAGTATATCCATACAATGGAATATGATTCAGCCATAAAAAGCAATGAAACTCTGATGTATGCTACAATATGGATGAACCCTGAAAATATTAAACCAGAGAGAAAAGGACAAATGTTGTAAGATTCCACTTACATGAAATAGCTAGACCAGGCAAACTCCCCGAGGAAGAGAAACCGGACTGAAGGCTCCTTGGGGCTCAGGGAGAGGGGAGGAAGGGGTATTGTTGAGAGCAGACTTTCCGCCTGGGGTGGTTACCCTGCATTGCCACTGATACTGATCACACATAAAGTGATGAAAATGGCAGACTTTCTGTCATATCTGTTTCACCCCTATTTCAAAATACATTTTTTAAAGCACACACTGAGGCGCCATTTTATCTCCACTGAGAAGGCTGAAATGAACACGTCTGACAAAAACCAAATAACGGTGAGCATGTGGAGCAACTACAACTCTCATGTCTGGCTGACAGGAATTTAAAACAAAACGATTACTTTCAAAGGGGGTTTGCTAAGTCTTTATTTGATCCAGAAATTCCACCCAGGTATGCATTCAAACGCAATGACAGTATGTGTCAACAATAAGACTTGTGCATGAATGCCGCCGGAGCTTTAATCACAATAGTTAGTGTCCATCAACACAAGAAGGCTATACAAGCGGTGGCATATTCACACAGCTGAATCATAGGAATAAACGGAAAAGAACTACCGACACCTGCTATACCACTGACAATTCGCACACACCTTATGTATAGCAAAAAAACTCAGACACAAAGTGTCTATACTGTATGGATTCCATTTCTATAAAGTTTTAAGAGTGGGCAGGCAGATTGGGATAAGACACCGTATAGCACATCCTAGGGATACGGAAATATCCACTATCACAATGAGGTATGGATTACATGATCATATTCTCCTTCAAAAGGGTACATGTGATTCAGTGTATACAGATTTTATCTACAAATATAATTATGAAAAATACAATAGTACTCAAGGTGAAGAGTGAGTGGAGATACAGATGATAAAATGGCAGAATATTGATAACAGCTGAAGCTTAGTGGTGGGTACTCTGGGGTGTGTTATACTATTGCTTACCTTGTTTATATTCTTATTTTTTCTTAATAAAAAATAAGTGTACAGTAAAGCATGACTACATTCGCACTAAAATTCATATATAGAAGCCTGCAACTAAAGGTCAAAGGGAGCTCCCTAATTCCAATAACCAAAATTAATTGACGTTAATAGTTTGGGATATATCTTCTCATTTATCTCAACATATTTAGTTTTAGATTTTTTAAAAATTAGGCATGAGTTAGGATATAGTTCCAAAATTTAATTTTTCCCCCTAAATAACATCTTGGAGATATTTCCATGTTAATATAGATCTTTCTTGCCAAAACAGGTTTGGCTCAGCAGTAGAGCGTCGGTCTGTGGACTGAAAGGTCCCAGGTTTGATTCCAGCCAAGGGCATGTACATTGGTTGTGGGCACATCCTTGGTAGGGGGTGTGCAAGAGGCAGCTGGTCAATGTTTCTCTCTCATCGATGTTTCTAGCTCTCTATCTCTCTCCCTTCTTCTCTGTAAGAAAATCAATAAAATATATATATTTTTTAAAATATATAGATCTGTCTTTCTGACCACTGCATAGCACTTCATAATATTTAACTACCCCTTGATGGTTTACTTCCAATTTTTCCTCATAAAATATTTCTTTGTTTAATTGATCATTTATAATAGAAGATTCTAGATATAGCATAACAATTATAAATGCATAATTCCTGAACATACCTAATAACATGGAAGGCTATGGTCCAATATTAACCCTTCATTAGCATAACTGTCCTTAGACATGCCTAGTGCTAACATTTAGCAATCAGAGCATTCAATAAAATTAAAGAACAGAAAATCACACTGACTTTTATATGTCAAGTGAGTGATCATAACACACTATTCAATGTTATCTGACTCCTGGCAAATGTTTGCACTAGTCCAATTTCCACAGA